GCTACCTGTGGACATTTCGTGTTCTTTTTTTTTTTAGAGGATCTGCCACGCGACAGTGTCGCCCGTTCAGCGGGGAAGATTGTAAATCAGAGCCAGTGGCTGTTGACGTGGAACGCAAAAAGTGAGAGTCAATTAGACACGTTAATTTGGTACAGATTCTTCGAAATTTTTTCTACCGTTGAAAAGCTTCCTACGAGCAGAGAAACTTTCTAGAAAATTGTTACGAGGCACGAGGTGGACATCCTCGCGCGTGAAAGTCAATTTTCAAGATAATATCAGGTATCCAGAAAAGTTCTTGCCGTTTTTTCGTGAACTTATTTGTCAAAATATGAATCACGTTCAAATATAAATGGCCTTTTTTATAAAAATCTTTTGTTTTATCGCGGACAAATCTTGGCACTTTTTTCATTATTGAGTTGCTTGTTCCTCGTATAGTTGTCCAGACAAGTGAAAACCTGTTGATGAGAGGAATATGGTGGATGGGACATAATCTTCCATTCAAGTTCCACTATCTTGTCACGAGTTATCTTTACCACACGAGAATGGACAAACAAAACTTTCTTCCTGTTTACCAAAGCTGGCTATTTTTTTCGTAATTTTTCCTGAATTCTCTCTAACTTGTCACAACAGACGATAAGTAATAGTTCTTTCCACTTTTAAAAACTCGTTACAGAAATCTTTTTCTGGTAAGAACGTTTCACCTAATGTTTCTCAAAAATTGGCACATTTCTCATGAATATTTTCGGGTATGAATTTCACTAATTTATCGCGCGAGAATGAAATAGAAATAGGAGTTATAAGAGAATGACAAAATTACCTACAAAGTCCGATGTAATCGACCACCGAGATGGAGTCTCAAACTCTCCGCTCGATGAACGAAAAGAAGGCGCGCAAAAGAGAGAGAGAGAGAGAGAGAGAGAGAGACTGACTTTGAACGGATGTTGAGGCGCGTTGGATCAGGCAGAAGGATGGTAACGTTGCCCCGAGGCAACGAGAGTCGTTTTACCAAGAAGTGTTAGGAGATGGCCGCACGGTATAGAAGAGGAATTTCCCGCGAGGCTCGCGTGTCCCGGATTTCAGGATCGGGGGGCCCCCATGAATCCTCCCGGCGTCCTCGATCCTCTCTCGCTCGAAAAACCCCCTCCCTCCAGGGGTTGACTAGCCCGGCTAGAATACGTTGCGAATCACGCGAACCCCGGGGCGACCGAAAGGTTAGCACGGAAACATCAGCTCGCAGATCTTCTTTCTTCCGAGCCTTTGTAGACCGGGGTAGCCTCGAAACTGAATTATGACCGCTGATTACTGTCGTTCGACCGTGCTGCTGCCCCAACGCTGTTTTATCTCGTTTGCAAACGATCCTGTCGAATATGTTCGAGCGCCGCTCTTTCTCACTACCGGCCGCGATGAAATTTGCGTTTCGCTCGTGTAGCGTAAGTAAGCAAGATGAAATTTATATTTACACCTGAAGATGCGTGCGTGATGTCTGCGGGGAATTTGCAGGTCCCCCGAAGATTTAGGGATAACTCGATAAAATTCTTCTGTAATAACATCCCTGTATTTGTAGAC